TCATTCATTCAATAAACCTGCATTGAGTACATTCATGAGCCGTGTGTTGTTTGGTGGGGCTTATGGTATACAGTTTGGAACAGGAGAACACTAGTTCTTATTCCCATGGGCACGCATACTCTTGGAAAGACAATAAACAATACAACCAAAGATTTGGTAGAGATATGTGCTTTTAAAAATAAAAAGTAATAATGTAACAGGAGAATTATGAAAATAAAGAATAAAAATAAATAAAAAAATAAATAAAAATAAATAAATAAAATAAATAAAAAATAAATAAAAAAGTAACTAGAGTGCAGAGAGCAACTTCACATTGTTTGGACAGAAAAGACATTTTCAAGGTAATATTTGTGTTATCTTGAAAGTTGAGGATCAATAATGAAAAATGTAGATGAAAAGTATTCCATGAAGTTGCAATAATAGTACAAAGACACAGTGGTAATTAGGTAGTTATGTTAAACAAGGAATATAAGGACCATGTGGTCAGTAGAAGAAGAGAAACATGAAGTTGGACAGATGGAAAAGGAGTAAAGATCATCTAAAACCTTGAAGACCATAGAAATAAGTTTTATTCTAAGTAATTGAATGAAAAGTCATTGGATAGTTTCAAACAGTAGAATGACACAATCATATTTAGGTATATTGGTCAGGAATCTGTATTTATGCTCTTCATTCTCCTTAAAACCCTTGGACTATATATTACATTATGCAGTTTGTTGTTGTTAGAAATAGTTGACCTAAAAATGAGGTAATTCATAGAAAACCCAAAATTTAAAAGGCTGTCTTTCAGGAGAGTGTATTTTTTTGGCTGGCACAAGGAGTAATAGCATTAATAGAAACTTCTAGAATCAATGTTTTATCATATATAGACAATCTAATAGTCAGAGGTGTTCAAAGATGGAAGAGGTCACTCATCATAGGAACAGGCTGGAAGACTGTTGATTGATGCAGACAGGATTCAAGTGTTGATGGATAATTTCAAAGGCGAGCTTTTTAAAGTTTTTTTTTTTTTTGTATAGTCAAAGAATTTTTATATAAATCCATAATGCTGATAATATTCACAATCTTTCTTTAGGCAAAGATTCAGTGAAAAATAAGAATGTAAAAGATTCTGAGTACCCCAATATCTAAGAGTCCGCAAAGTCTGTTTGTTTTAGTTATTAAATTTCAAAACCCTCGTGTGATGGGACCTATCAGGAATAGTGTATTATACCACTTATTTCTGATTGGAAAAAGACAGCATGGCTCTCAGAAAAGTGTGCATATCGCATCTTAGATGCAGGAAATGAATGTGTGAGCCGAGGAAAGCCTTAAAGTTGGTTCTGGTTTACCCTCGTGTAGAGGCAGACCTCATCCCTTCCGGCTGAGAATCTATTCACTAGTCTCAAAACCCAATGGAGGCATGTGTTCCCAACTTTTAATGCAGTGCCTGGTATGAAGGAGACATGTCATAAATATTTCTTGAATTAAAATAATTAAATCTTTATTAAAACCATGTCAAATTTCTATGATTTTAAAGGGGATCTTCAATTTCAATTGGAAATTGAAATGAGAAAAATGCACTTTATATGTGATATCATTAAAATTAGCACCCTGAAACCTCTTCCTACTCCAAAGCTTACTTGTCTCACTGTAAATGGGTTTATTACCTGAGTACATGCACTCTCTGTACCTATTTGGAATCTTATAAGTATTCTAACAAGAATCTCCATATCATCAGACCACTATTCTTATCCAGAGTTTTACAGCCTGTAACCAAAATGCTGTTCTATAGTTAGAAAAAAAAAAAAAATTACTATTTGCTTGTAATGGCATGGTATCTTTGAAAGACAGTCACTTTTATTAGTAGCTCAAATTAATACAATTTATTTCTTCCAAGCAATATTTCATTTAAAACATTTTTCTCTTGGAAAAAAATTTGCAATTATAGTAGAATGCACAATTACTATATCCTTGACCAGGGCATCTTTAATTAGCAAAAAAAAAAAAAAAAAAAAAAAACAAACCAAAAACAAAACTGTGTGTGTGTGTGTGTGTGTGTGTGTGTGTGTGTGTACACACACATGCAGTGTTCCCACTCCTATTCTTGGATTTCTTTCACATTCCTTTAAAAAAATAAGAAATCTCAGCAAGACAGATTTCAGACTTATTTGGGTTTCAAATGTAACCTGTACTTTTTAATTAAGCACTTTTTCTTACTAAAGGAAAATATAAATAGCTTTCACACTATATTTATTCCCCATGTTGTTACCTATGTAACAAATGTATCTAACCTGAAATAAAATTTTGCCAGAGGGTATAAATGAATATTTGCTGAATGTGCAATTCTATTTCTATTCGAATGATGCAGGTAATGTGGCTTAATTTTTTTTTAATTAACATTCAAAAATTAAACTAAGTGTTTCACTGTGGGGAAGGGGTACCCAAAGAATGGGCAAAGTCCCAGGTTGAGAGTCAGGGTTCGAGATATGAATTCTGTTTTTTCTATTTAGTGGTGAAATGACATTGAGCAAATCATTTCACTTGACTAAAGATTAGTTTTCTTATTTATGAAATAACAATTCCTACTTCGAAAAATTGTTTTGAAGATGCTATGAACTATCATGTGAGTCTTTTTATTTTTTAAACTGAGGCAACATTTAATTTCTGATTTTTTTCTTAATGACAAATCAGAAATAATGTACAATGTAAGGATCTTTTATTAACTTACAATCATGTTTTCATGTATGTTTGATGCCAAAGGGACTTTATAGACCATTACATTTATCTTCCTCTTTCTTAGCTTTTGAGAAAACTCAGCAATGAAAAGACTTTCCTAATGTCAAACAACAAGAACTAATGACAAAACTGTAGCCAGAATTTAGTTTTTTGAGATAAATTCGAAATGTCTGCAAAATATATTATTTTTGATTGGTGTCTGTATCTTAGAGCTAAGTATGTCATGCGGAACATAGGCTAAATATAGAAAAGATAATTTTATTAAACATTAACTAGGTCACCAGTACCTTCTCTGAAGTCATCATCGAAATCATGATTTTTCATGTTTCTACTGGCAAAGTTAAGTCGGGAAAGTTTCTGTGTTATATTATTCTTTTATGAATCTCAGTTCAGTAGTTACCCTAAACTGTAAATAAAGCCCATAAAAAAGTCCTAATTAGATAATATGGCAAATTTGAAGCCTTGTAGCATTCACGTTATGTTGACCCTTATGTCAGCAAGAAACAAGATATTCATCATGTATTCAATGCATATTTCTTGAGCTCCTAGTAGGCATAATAATAAACACGTACTGTGCTTTCTGTGTGGCTATTTTATGTGCTTTATGTGTAATATCTCCTTTAAAGTTCACATCTACTCTATACATAGGTATAAATCAGCACAGTTTTGTTAATAAGGAAATCGAGACCCAGAGAACTTAAATATTTTGTTCACCTTTACAAGTATAGGAGGGGGCAGACTCCAAGATTAAAATTAAGGATTAAAATTCCACTCTAAAATTCAAGATTAAAATTCCACTCTAGAGTCTACTCTTAATGACTTGGTTATGCTACTAGATGTTAACAGGTCTGTGTCAGGAATTTCAGATAGAGCAGTGAATGATCTCAGCCTTCATCAAAATAGACAATAATATAAAACGTAAACAAATGCGAAATGATTGTGTAGTCATAATTTTCAAGAAGAGAATAATCATAGTTTTCTAGTGTAGTAATGAATGGCTTCAAACAAGAGTAGTGGATAAAGCTTTCCTATTGACTTATGATATTGTAAATCAGCAATTTAATCCAAAACATGCAGAATAGTAACTACCATACTTGGAGGATAGAGGAGCATGGGTAGTTAAGTTTAGCTGGAACAATTGATTCATAGACTTTGCTTTCTAAGTAAAGTTCTATGAACTATTATCAGTTTTATGTCTTAGCTTATAGTAAAGCTAAGCTGTGCTATTCTTTCAGGTAAAGCTGGAAGTAGAAGAAATCTGATTATAATAGTTTCGAATTCAAGCCTAAAACATTTGTTTTTGTCCTGAAAACAAAAGAAAGTCACAGCTAGTTGCAGGCAGATAGAACTAATTAAAGCAGTGATTTGAAAATATGGTTTTAATGGTGTGGCATGTATAAGGAAGAGAGGCAATGTGATCAACCAGAAGCTTTTGCAAAAATATGTGTGTGAAATAACAAAGATGATCAGTGAAAATCAAGAGGAAACATCAGATGTGGAAAGAATGAAAAGATAATAATCTCATTATTTTGTTTGTATAATTATAATTTCTTAGTATCTAGTAAGAGCATATTCTTATGCAGGTATTTCAACAAATTCATGTTAAAATTTTAGATTTTTTTCTGAACTAGTCTATAAGTCTACTTATTAAAAAAATAGAAATGAGACAATAAATATACATAAGAGTTATGGGTGTGCATTTCCAGAAATCACTCTGAGGCATGTTAATGTTTTGAGTTAACACTACTAATTTAAAGAATAATTACCCCTTTGTAATTCTTGTAACCAATGTCTGTTTTGTCAATTTGTCAACGAATAAGGGAATAAGTTTCTCCTTTAAATATTTCAACTATCTTATATTCAAGATGCCTAAGAATTAAATTATATATTTGAATACAGTGTAACAACTTATAAAATAATAGCATATAACTCACCAAGAAATGAAATATACTTTATTTTCTTATTATCTAAGAGTTACCAAAAAAATAAATAAATAAAAAGTCAAAGTGTTAGTAATGCCTTTCATAGTTTGAATGTGGCAAGAGTTGTACTCATATAAATTATAAGTAATTGATAATTAAGCATCTGGAGATTAGATATGAAAATGATGATTTTATTAGCAATATCTACAATCTAACATTGTACTTTATGGTTGAATGCTCTGCGTGCATGTTTTATTTTCAGTAAAATACATAAGAAAAAGAAAAAAATAGGGATGAATACTTAATGTTATTTAAATATAACCAAAGCTCTTTAATAAAACCAATTTATATTTTGCACAGGTATGACATCAAAGATGATTACACTCTGAGAATTAAGAAGGCCATGAGTACAGATGAAGGCACCTTTATGTGTATTGCGGAGAATCGGGTTGGAAAAGTGGAAGCTTCTGCGACCCTCACAGTTCGAGGTAAGAGACTTAAGATGTGAAATATAATTGAACTAGCAGACTAATATTTGGTTAAATTGGTGAGTGAACTCACAATCAAAATAATAGCTTACACTATTTTATTATTATATTAAAATGTCTAGATTTGGTGTCCCCTCTATTATTAATTGAAATTTTCTTTTTAATTTGAGTTCAAAGAGACGATCATTTGAAATTATTAATTTTTATTTAATAAATGTAGCTAACATGATTTAAAAATAAATCTTAAAATAGACAAGACTTACACTAATCTTTTATATTTCTATTGCTTTGAACTATTTACTGTTTTTAAATGTCACTAGTTTCAAAAGTATTTTCTGTCGACTAGTTTTTTCACTTTATACTAGTAGAGTACTGTTTTGAGATTTTTTAAATTTCAGTATTCAAAAAGAAATCTGGTGGGGAGAGGAGGGAACTAACACTGCTTCCAAAGGTGATACAAAGAGACTCTCACATCGAGAAAATCTTAGAGAGTGATTTGTGAAGTTCATTGGCCTTAAATAATTGAAATAGCCAGTGCTGCTCTTGTAATAACTTTCACTTTCTCAGTGTCATATATACTTTCTCAGTCATAGAATAATGTTCGTTTATAGACTCCCTGGAATTACTTATAAGTGAAAGAAAGCATTACTTAACCGCACAGTGAGCTAGAATGAATTAACTGTCTTCCTGGTGGTACATGTTGATCCACGTGAGTAAATTATACAGCCCAAGCTACGATGGACAACTACACACACTCTTGCCAAATAGACATTATCCATGGCATTGTTTACACTTAGAGAACTTCAAACAGAGACAGGCAAGTGCATCCCTTCTCAGTCTTTCAATCTTTCTTCCACTACCTTAACTGGTGCCTCTTCCTCTCAGCCTTTCTGATAAGGAGGTTGGCTGCATGTTTTCATCCAGGTCTCAGTTACAACTAACCCTTTTTAGTCATACTTCTTATCTTGGTGCAGCTTTGCTCCAAAAGGTTTTCATAAGATTAGGAAAAAATTTTGGAGGAGTTCGGATTGTTGAGAAATGTGTCAGGGATTCTCAGGTTGATCCTCCACCTAGTAAGGAAAATTATTTTTGTCAGATCTACGATTTGGGCATCAAATTATAAAAACAACAAAAACAAAACTCATCTACTCCAGCTAACTATTAGGAGACCGTACGTACTCTAGATATTTGGAAAATATTAGTGATTTCCATACTTCCCAATCACTCCATTTCTAGTCCACCTAATTTACTTTTTATTTATTCTGGTGTGAACTGAGATACAAAACATATTTAGACAAAATTGACAGGCTAATAAAAACATTTTCTCTCCTCATCAGAGAATAGAACATAAAAACTATGATCATATACCAATAGAATATATGAATATAAATGTATATACACATTACATATGATCAAAATATGAGCCTTTAAAAGCCTCTTTACTATATTTAACCAATCTTTCCTGTAGATGATTTTATATATTTTTATATATGTTTGTTTTTCACTAGTAGCCCTTTGCAAAAACAATTAACTTGACCAAATTTCCCCAAAGTTATTTTGTTGTTTATTTCTGAAGTGAATGGGAAAAAATAAACAAGCAATTAAGAAATGTTCCATTCAAAAAATATTTGCTGACTAAACAAATAGTGAGAAAATGTGAGGGTTGTTTATTTGTAAAAGCAGCAGGGTTTCTTTATACTTGAATGCTTGGGTGGATGAGACTTAAAGTGGTCTGTTTGCTTTAAGATCTTTCCCAGCTAATTGTCTTCATAATTTGTTGAAAGTTTCAAGTTTAACATTTCATTTAACAAAGGTTGCTTCTCATATATGGATGTTTTAAGATAACTAACAAAACTATTAGAAAGAGTTGTTTTTATTAGGAATTTTTTTTTTATTAGCAAACCTTAAATGGTCTCTTCCTTCATCTGTGTCCTATAGATGGAGTAGAGATTTTAATCTATGTGGTGTGTATTTATTATTTGTCTAAGATTGACACCATAAAAGAGGGTTATAGGGGAGAAAATCTCCATAATATAATAGAATGTGGAGTAAATTATTATTTAAAAATATTTTTTATCATTAGAAAAAGCAGTTGGAATTTTTCATGCTAAGAGGTTAACAGGGAAAAGAAAACAGTATCTATGACATATTTTTTCTGTGGTCATTTTTCTATGCACATAAATGAAATGTTCAGCCCTTTCTTGGGTTGTTTTATTAGAACAAGGTCAACTGACCCAAGAGGCCACATCTATTTTCATTCATTTAATGCAGAGACACAGTTTAGTTTAATTTGCTGATTTTGAAAACATTCACCTGCTGTGTGTGTGTGTTTCCCCAGGAAGAAATGTTGCTATATAACAAAGACAAGAGATTTTACTGTATTGTTTCTGCTAAAATTTTATCATGATATTCACTTTAGCCAATTGGGAAAAAAGAAAAGAAGTTTTATAGTTAAAATCTGAAATAGGTTTAGAGAGTTTTCTACTTCAACAATATGGTGAAAATAGACTATAAAATTAAATTTAATAAATAGCTCCTTTTGCTGACTTGACAAACATAAAATTAAAAAGAAAGACAACAAACCTCCTAGTATTTATATTCTAATCAAATAATTCATGATTGATAGAACTTTTTAAAATGACTCCGAAAGTAGTTAAAACAAACTTCATATTTGTAAACATAATTTTCCCTCATTTTTCAATTGCTCATATTGGCTTTGCATAAATTAAGACTTCATTGGAAAACCTATCTTGCTTTTAGGGCACTAAAACTTTAATTTTTTTTTTTTTTTGAAATTATTCTAGACAATGAAAGAGAAATATATTTCTTTCAAACATGATTTCTCAGCATGGTTTCTTTTTTCTCTCTCTTTAATATTGTGGATTTAAAATGTCTTTTATGCCTTTTTGTTTCTAAAAGAAACATTATGTTTAAGATTCAGCTTGGGGTGACACCTGAAAAATGCAAGTTAGAAAATGAAAGACAGTTATTTTTCTACTGGACATTGGCAAAACGAAGAGAAATCTTGTCAGTTAGAATAAGGACTTTATGACGTTAGTCCATTGTTTTGCTCTTGTTTGTTATTTTTATCCCCCCCACCACCAAAAGAAAGAAATTCTTGTGCAGTGGACACCTTATGCCTCTTCCTATACTTCCTTACTTCCTCTTGCTATAGTGACCCTACTATAGACTGTTCAGTACGCTAGGGTTTCACTAAGCTCAAATTTTCATACTGCTGCTATAATTACTTTATTCTTCTTTGAATTGTCTTAATCTATCCCTTTTAATTGTGAATAATATTATAAGGTCATGAATCTCATATAGAAGCAACTCCAGTACTATTTCAGTGATTGCACAAAGCTAGTATTATGATGTTTGTTGAGTGAATGAATGCCTGTAAATATGGTTTCAATGGCCATATCTATTTCACCATGCGCAATGAGACATCACCCAGACAAAAGTACCCATAAGTTTTAGAGCCACATTTTATATGATTTAGAGCTTTATTCACTGGGATATGACAGACACACATTTGTTGAATAAATTTGTATTTTTAATGTAAGATTTAATACAAGCTCAAATGCTAGTAAATATATTCCTTCTTCATTTGAATAATGGAATCATGTGTTTTATATTTGCCCATTGCTTTTATTATAAAGTGGTTTACTTTCTAAATTGATTTGGCATTATTTTTTTAAAAGAAAGTATTATTAAGGCTGTGTGTGTGTGTTACAATTTCTGTGCATTAATAAAAGGGGCAGCCTACTACTACTGATTGTAGTGATTGAAAGTTGTGGTATAATAAAAAAATAATAATAATTTGTTGAAGCAGCAGTTTGAAAGCCATTCTCAGTGTGAACAAGAATCAACTTGTCAGTCATTGTTTCCTGCCCTCTGCCAAAATAAGAAAAAAGCTTAACGGTAGTTAGGGAGCTACTCAGTTTAAATCTCTAAGGATGTTCCAACCTATTTGTTATATTTTTATCCACCCTGTCCAGGGATGAAAAGTGATGTGATCTTAACTTATTACTGGCTGAAAAGCAGTGTCAGGGGCTTTTCTTCAGTCCTCATAATAGTTCTGACTAACCATGCTTAAAATCCAATTGCTATTTAAATCAGACAGTGAGTCCTTCTTTTATTGACATGACATTTGCTAGTCTGTGACTTGAATAGTTATATTCATCAGGTTCTTCGTGGTAGCATAAGGTTGTTTAACTCTAAAAAGACCTTTGAAATTATTACTAAGTGATGACGATAAGACTACATAAAATCTCTCAAATTGCTTATAGTTAATCCTAGGGCACAAAATAATTATTTTCTTAGAATTACATTTATAACTTTCAGTTTTATCAAACTTAGACATCCCGTTCATACTTGAATTATCAGACTAGAAATCACTCTACTGTCCATACTTAAATGTAACATTACACATCATGCATTCTGATAATTTTCTTTTCTTTCTTTTTTTTAAATTTCTTTTTTATGTTCTCACCACACCATTGTAATGTCTACAGCTCGCCCTGTTGGTAAGTAGCCATCCTTCTATCCATTTAGCATGGCTTTGTACAATGCTTCATAACCCATGCATAGTAGAATTTGATGGAATAAAGTATATCTTGTCATTCATGTTAAAATATTACTTGAGGGATCGTCCGCTGTAAAAGTTGCTCCTAATCTTTTCATCCTTTTGGTAAACGATTTTGTATTTAGCGATGAACAGGTAACAATTTTCATCTAAAAGAATATAAAAATGATTAATATTATAAACTAACTTTTCTTAAGGATAAAAATAAAACACTTTCTTATTCTCTTATATGTATGAAATAATCAATTATTAATTGTACTTGATATTCAAAAATTAGTTCATATGAATTCAATTAAGAAGTTCTATTATTTATGCCCTTTTATTTTAAGGTGCTTGGAGTCCTTGCTTTTAAGGGCACTTTTAACTGCTATATACTTATTATCTGCATGCCTATTTGAACAAAATTTAGTAGAATGCTTCAAGTTATTATAAGTAGATGCTTACACTAAGAGGAAAAGGGAGGGATGGGCTGTGCTATTTGGCATGAAAAGTTTGTGGTTTTAATATATGTCATCCTTCATTTGGCTTTGCAAAATTGAAGTTATCAGCTTTTGCTTACAGTGATTTAAGTGGTAATTATTTATAAACATTTGGAAGAGAAATTATTTTCAAATTCATTGATTTAATAATCTCTCTGCATTTCTTAAAGCTTAGCTTAACCTACTAATAAATGTGTTTAAATAAAATGAATCTTGGCATTGCGTTATAAGTAAATGAATAGATGGATGCATAAATGGGTGGGTAAATGAATTAATTTAGTATACTACTTTAATATACCGATATACTTCAATAAATTATTAAATTAACATAGCCTTAAAAATTGTTCATCTAACTTCAAAAGCTTTCTTAATATACTGGCTTGACATTGTTGACCTTTGATGTATATTGGTCTCAACTCATAACATTTTTTTTCCTGTTGGTTGAAACATTAGCAAACTTTATCGTTATATAGTATATTTTTACATGGATAGAAAATATAGTAAGTAGAACTTTGGTTTCCCACTCTGAAATTTTGCTCTGATATTTCTAAGCAGTACTTCCCATGTCAGTTATTTAATATCCCTGATCCTCAGATGAATCGGAATAAACTGAAGAGAATAATAGAGAAAATAATACTGACTTAACAAAGCTGGTGTAGGAATGAATTTAGTTTAATATTGATCATTTATGTGAAAACATTTTGTATGCCAACATTGGTTAGCATATTCCTGGTTTCTGAGATTTTTTTTTACATCTTTATATTTTTGAAATAGAGTTATGGCTTACAATTAATTTGAACATAAATCTCAGGCTTTTTTAAAAAAAAAACAAATATTACAATTGATGTTAGAAAATTGAGGAATATGTTGCAGTTTTTAAGCCTCATTTTTTGTATTTATAAGAATCCATATTAATGTGATAATTTTACATATCTGTGGCATGGCATCTAAAATTAAGTAGTGAATGGGAAAGAATGAGATAAAAAATTAATAATTTCCTTGTTAATTAGTAAATTAACAAGGAAAATCATATTTAAATTATAGATCTTTATATAAAAGAAACCTTCTGCCAATAAACCATGACCACTTGATTTATATGATTTCACAAATTCCCAGAACATAGAATAATATATTAATAATTTTCAATATATGTGACTCATAAATAAAAATTACATTGATTAGAAAATGTTATGCACACAGAGTATTGAGATACATTTGTCACTTACAAAGCATTTCAAAAGTTATTCCTTTTTTATTCTCATTTGTAATGATTTTTAAAATTCCCATTGGACTGGAACTAAAGAATAGGTTCTTGACACATTGTACTTTATTCTGAGAACGTCTGTCATTTCATAAATCTATCTTGAATGATTTATGACAATGTTCAGAAATATGAAGAACTATACTTTAAGCTTGACAACTACTATTAATTTTGAAAACTGAATGTTAGATATGCTTTTATTGGATCACCAAAAAAGAGAGTGATAATGAGGAATTAGCTTGTTTCTTCTTTGCATCAACTTTTTACATTAATTTTAATTCAGGAACTAAATAACAATGTTTTCTTTTAATTATATATGTCAACTTTTATTGTAAGGTCAAAAGGTCCAAATCATAAATTAAATGTTGAAATAATAAAAGTAAAGCCATAAATTAAGTGTTGAAATAATAGAAAACTATGTTAATATTAATATTTGTTAGTGGACTAAAATATTAGTTTTTCAACTTTGCAACTCTTACCAATAGCCTTAAGAGTCTTCTACAAATTAAAAGCCACAGATAGGTGAGAATATTCAGGTTTTAATTTCAGAATAAATTAGCTGAAGATATATGTACCAAGTATATAAAATTTAGAGAAAATTCAGGCTGTAATTCCTGTGTAATGCTTTCAAATGAAAATAGAAATATATGCAGATTCTGGAATGTTTGTAGATTCAGAAACCAATCACTACATTACATACCAGATAAAATTTGTAGTCTGTATGGAAAGTCCATTTAGACATCATTATAAACTCCCAAATTGGTAGTTTTTGTCCAAATGGATAACTCCTATGAGCTGCATTTGAGTTAAGAAATTGCCAATTCTATGCAATTTACAGCTGAAATAAACACCTTCTGGTCTGTACTTTTTAAAGTATAAGAATAACTTTTGATTCAGAAAACACTCTGTGTGGAAAATTTTACTGAAAGCAGACAATCGCAGACTTGTCAATGAAGGAAAGTATCCAGATATCACTTACTCATCTTCAGTGTCATCGTCATTTCAAAAAAAGCCCCTTAAGCCAAATTCCTTATTTGCTGGTTACCACAAAATCTAGACAAATGCTATTTTGATAATTAGAAATCTGCCAGCCTTTCCTGTGGTTTTGCCTTTTTTACTGTTCCAAAGTCAGTTTTTATATGAAAAGCAAAAGTACATCCCAGGACATAGTTAACTATGAATGCTAAAATATTCATTTGTTTATTTGGAAAACTCTTCTGATGAGGGAACTGACAGAAGAAAAGGATCTAAATAGGGACAAATATCTTGCTTCCTATACCCATCTGTCTTATTTTCAATTGGAAGTCTTTCCCAAGCTTAAAAATAAAAAAGAACATCTATTTTGGACACGGACAACACATTTTTTCCTAGCAGCAACTCAAAACATGATGAGTAATTTGGAAAGAACTATCAAGTCTACCAGCTGCCTTGCTTGTGGAGCTGAGCCCTGCTCAGTTTTATATCTTGTATACCGTATGCTAGATGCTGATTGCCTCCAGTATGGAAACCAAAAGCTGAGTATATCAGGTGATACTTGTTTAAAATATCAAAAACAAACTGAAAATATACAACTTTATGGAAACTTGTATTTCTTAATTTAGTGACTCAAAAGTATATTTTCTTTTGATAGAAGAATGTAATTGACCACACAAAGTTTATTAGTATTGAGAAATATATGTTTTTGGCAAAATTTCCATCTTTTATGACTATTATTTAAAGAAGCAGCCACTCTTCTAAATAGAAATCTGTAGGAACATATTTTTTTTCAATCTTTTAACAGCTTAAACATAAAAATTAAATATATTCTCATTTTATAAAATTCTGTTTTGAAATGAACTAGAGTTTTGTTACAACATTCTCTAAAGCATTTTATTGAGACCACTAACAAGTTCAATAAAAAAGTGATTAAAAATTAATTAAGGGCAGATTATAAAGCAAACATTACTTAGAGCAATGCAACTGATATTTTCAACACCACCACTCTTCATCCCATCTTGAAATATGAAAAACCTGTGTATTTTCCAGTTTTTTGTTTTCATTTTTTAATCAGAAAATATGTGGGTATTATGTATGAACTCTTTCACCTCAAGATCCACTTTTCTGAAAAAGGCATCCTGAACGTGTCTTAGAAGGAAACCCATGCTTTTACTCCCTGCAGCATTTCTTCTTTGGACAAGCTGTTATCCTATGACCTGAGGTGATCATCTCCCTCCTATGAGTGCTTAATGTTTCCTGCACCTGGCACTAATTAGCTACTTTATGTAGAGTCTCATGTAATTATTATTACACATCACGTTTTTCATTACTCCATATGTTTTGATTAAGTAGAAGGTAAAAAATGCATTCTGCTTTGTCTTGTATATTTCAACAGTTTCCATACTGTGAAACTCTTAAAATATCTGAATGCTAATTTTGTAATTGAGAAACATGTACTAGTTATTTTTCATGATTGGATGATTTTAGTTACTTACTAGATTCTCTTGAAAGTGGCTTATGTGTTTGACAGTGTCCATTCATTGACTCTAAATTGGAGAATAAGGTATAAAATTACTAAGTCATACTTTCTATTTCTCAACACATTGGAGAAAAGGTGCTATTGGCTTGGTATTGAGTGGTGGAGTAGTGAAGTCTGAGCCTTCTAAATAATGTTATCCTTGGCTGGGTTGCCCTTTTACTATAGGAATACCAGTGTATTCCCTTCTTCCATAACTTTGCTGAGTTATAGCTTGGTCTTGATCACCCTCCATCTAATATTCCTAGGACACATTAAACCTCTTAAACTTTTATATTTTTGGTTAAATTTACACTATTTTAAGAAGATTTTCTTCTATTTTATCTCTGAATAGTCTTTTCTATCTCACTTCTTTTCTTCGAAAACATGACTTACGTTGGCTTTCCTTTGTCTCAATTTTATATTTGTTAACTTCTCTATAATAATTTTAAAATCATAATTTTATTTTATAATGTATGATTTCCCCATGCTGATGTATCACCTTCCTAACTTTTTCAATGGCAACTATTATTTTCTTGTTTCTAAATAAGATTTTGTTTCTTTAATTTAATTTTATCCTTTGTTCATTTCCTTACTAGGCTTGACTACATTTTTCCTCTCCACTTGTCTTCAGCCCCATTATCCTTTTTTTTTAAAATTAATTAATTTTTTTTTTTTTTTAGAGAGGCCATGTTGTATATAATTTCATT